TATGTTAATGAAATAAATGATGGGTGTTAATAACACCCATCATTTATTATACAATCATCACCTATCTCTCTTTTACATGACGTTTTTTTTTAAATCATTATTTTTAATAATATTATATATTAATAATTTTATAGTAGTGCCTACTCACTAAATAAACCACTCCTTGAAATGAATGTTTTTATCAATTTTTGGAAGAGTTTTGCTATAAAATGCAAAAAATTTCTCTCCCGCGGAGAATTCTAAGGCATCGCCCAATCCTCATGACAATAAAAAAAGGAGGAAGAATCACATTTAAAAATCAATCGTACAAATTACTCACATACAATAATTAATGAGTTTTATTTTAAAAATAAATTATGTTTTTATTTTAATAATAATTTATTTTATATTAGTCACTGTCTGAAATAATTTTTTTGAGTGGTTCTTAAATGTCAATTTTTTTTTTTTGAAGAATAAGAAAAGAAATCCCCCGATTCCACTGTCACAGTGTCACGGAAGGCGAGAGCCAGACCAGGCCCATACATGTGAGGCTGAGCCCATAGCTTGGTGCAATCTGAAGCCCACGAAAGAGAAACCCAGGCCTCATCATCGTGCGCCCTCCATGGCTCAACAAATCATGAACTTTCGAGGTTTTACCGGTATATTCATTGCAGTGACGTGTCGACATTCTATTGGTCATTTCACGTGTTATGCCAGGAAGGGTCCGCACCGCATTGCACCCATAATACTGACGTGGTATCTCTGTATTGGAGAGAACACTCTAGCATGGGGGACTCACAAACACCGATATATATATATATATATCTATCGCCCCCCATTTTGAAGAGCCGACCTTTGGCAACCAAGTTACAAAACAGAGCAAGCGTCTGCCAGGACGAAGGTGAGAAGTATTAAACCAATCAGCATGATCATGTCGAAGAATAAAGCATTGGCAATTCTGCTTCTATTTTCTTTAGGTAAGGTTCCGCTCATGTGTTTTTTCTTCCTTTTGGAATGCTACACCATTGTATTAAAAGAAAAAAGAAAAGAAATGGAATATTACGCCCTACAAGATACTATAATATAATGCAGCGACATTGGAATTGAAAGAGAAGCTTTTTTATTGCTTATTTATTTTGTTCTCGAGTTATTCTAATGTATTCTTTCTGTCCTTTTCAGAATTTCTGTTTGGATTGGCTATAGCTGCTGAAGAATCTCCAAAACTCGGAACTGTGATCGGTATTGATCTGGGTACTACCTACTCTTGCGTGGGTGTTTACAAGAATGGTCACGTGGAGATCATAGCGAACGATCAAGGGAACAGAATCACTCCTTCATGGGTCGCATTCACTGACACAGAGCGTTTGATCGGAGAGGCAGCGAAGAATCAAGCGCCTCTCAACGCTGAACGCACACTTTTCGATGTTAAGCGTCTCATTGGCAGGAAGTGAGTGATCTTCTGTCTCTTTAAGGTCAATAATTCTTGGCTTCTCGTTATCGAATGGCCTGCTGAACTGGGTTTGATTTGCTTCTGAATGTTAGGTATGATGATCCAGAGGTCCAAAGGGATATAAAGTTCTTGCCCTATAAGGTCATAAATAAGGATGGAAAACCTTACATGCAAGTGAAAGTCAAAGGAGAAAACAAGGTGTTTAGCCCTGAGGAGATCAGTGCTATGGTTTTGACTAAAATGAAGGAAACGGCCGAAGCCTATTTGGGGAAGAAGATCAAAGATGCCGTTGTCACTGTTCCAGGTACCATTCTTTCGTTCTTTTTACTCCCTAATTTGATATGTGTTCCCGCTTATTAATTATACTTATCAGTTTAGCTCTGCATACACATGTGGTCTGATTTGCTTCTTGTTCCTGGTGATTACAGCGTATTTCAATGACGCGCAAAGGCAGGCTACCAAGGATGCTGGCATCATTGCCGGACTCAACGTGGCTCGGATAATCAACGAACCCACAGCGGCAGCCATAGCCTACGGACTGGACAAGAAGGGAGGAGAGAAGAACATATTGGTTTATGATCTTGGTGGCGGTACATTCGATGTCAGCATCTTGACCATCGATAATGGCGTGTTTGAGGTCCTTTCTACCAGCGGAGACACCCACTTGGGAGGAGAGGATTTCGACCACAGACTCATGGACTATTTCATCAAGTTGATTAAAAAGAAGTACAACAAAGACATTAGCAAGGACAATAGGGCTTTGGGGAAGCTCAGGAGGGAATGTGAGAGAGCCAAGAGAGCTCTGAGCAGCCAGCACCAAGTGAGGGTTGAAGTTGAGTCACTCTTTGATGGAATCGACTTGTCTGAATCACTGACAAGAGCCAGATTTGAGGAGCTGAACATGGATTTGTTCAAGAAGACGATGGGTCCGGTGAAAAGAACTTTGGAAGATGCAGGCCTGAAGAAGACTGATATCAACGAGATCGTGTTAGTTGGAGGAAGTACTCGAATTCCCAAGGTGCAACAGCTCTTGGTGGACTTTTTCGATGGGAAAGAACTGAACAAAGGGATTAATCCTGACGAGGCTGTTGCTTATGGCGCTGCTATCCAAGGCGGAATACTCAGCGGTGAAGGCGGCGAAGAAACCAAAGGTAACGTAATCAACCTGCATATCTATTTATTTCTTGATTTTCAAAGGACTTTCTGCTTGATGCTTCTTTGGTTATTTGGAGTCAGAACTTGAAGTTGAACTTGCTTTATTTTGGGCAGATATTCTTCTCCTCGATGTTACTCCTTTAAGTCTGGGGATTGAGACGGTTGGCGGTGTCATGACAAAATTGATACCAAGGAACACTGTTATTCCAACCAAAAAGTCTCAAGTCTTCACCACTTACCAAGATCAACAAACAACAGTATCCATCAAGGTGAGATCATTAGCATGATTTTTCCCTAATTGCTTATATAACTGCCACTGTATTTGTATTCTAATCCTTGTGTTGAAAATTTTTAGGTTTATGAAGGCGAAAGAACCCTGACTAAGGATTGTCGCGAGCTTGGGAGATTTGACCTGTCGGGCATCCCACCAGCACCCAGGTAAGTTGAGAAATTAACCAAGACACGGCCTTCATATTGTAAAATTTGTATTCTTGAATGAAATGGAAGATATTGGGAAGAATACAGGAGAATGTAGTTTCTAGTGATTGGTTGATTAATAATACTTGCAGGGGAGTGCCTCAAATCGAGGTCACTTTCGAGGTTGATGCCAATGGAATCCTACATGTGAAAGCAGAGGACAAGGCGGCAAAGAAATCGGAATCGATCACAATTACGAATGACAAAGGGCGTCTGAGCCAAGAAGAGATTGAAAGGATGGTGAAGGAGGCTGAGGAATTGGCAGAAGAGGATAGAAAGGTTAGGGAACGGATTGATGCCAGGAATACATTGGAGACATACATATATAACATGAGGAGCACTATCAATGACAAGGACAAGCTTGCAGACAAGATCGAGTCAGACGATAAGGAGAAGATAGAGAATGTACTGAGGGAGGCTCTCGAGTGGCTGGATGACAACCAAAACGCTGAGAAAGATGAGTTCGATGAGAAATTGAAGGAGATTGAGGCTGTGTGTAATCCGGTTATCAAGCAGGTTTATGAGAGGAGTGGTGAAAGCTCTTCTTCTGATGACGACGACGACGCAGGACCGAACGATGAACTGTAGACTTGGGCTCTTATTTCTTTTCTCTTCTTCTTGACTTTTTTGGGAGGGTTGTTCTCCTCCTTTGTGGATAGGCGAGAGTTTTATTCTTGTTCATGAAGCGAGAATTTTGAGTTATTTCTGTTTCATGAAACTCTGTTCTTTATTTAATCATGTTCGAAGCCATATTATTGGAATGATAGTAAATCATTGAGAATATGACCTTGCAATTAAAAAGCGATACGAGAGCTTGTGGTGTGGTGGGATGAGGCAAGCTATCAAGTACATGAACTTGAATTCAGAGTCCTCCCCTTGCTTTTTATAATAGTGGATTTGATATTCTCCATGCTATCTTTTTCTTTCAATTTTTAAATGCATATATATTCCAGAATGAGCGGGAAAAAAGAAGGGAGTGATGAAGCCACGGGGTGTCCCCCAAATGAAAGCAAAGTATCCTTCCTCTTGAAATGTGAGTTGATTCAAAACTTGGGAGGACAGGATACGCACGCCCATGAGGTTTGGGAACATCATTTTGGCCATTACAGGGTTGTCGAGCTCGTTGCTGGTGGGCGTGACAAGTCTGCGGAGATGGCAGAAGAAGAAGATGGTGGCGGAAAAGCTGAGAATAGTAAGCGAGGCGCTGGAGGTGGCGGAAGAAAGAGTGGCGAGATATCAAGAGAGACACGACAGAATATTGAGTCAGATAAGCGGCTATTACCTGACAAATACGGAGCTAATAGAGGCATTGGAAGGAGCGAGAGCGAGCATGAATCAGGCTCTGGAGTTTGCGGCGTGCTTGAGGAGGATTCAGTTGAAGATCATTTGCTCTTTCCCTGAAGCTCTGGACCTTCACCTTTCCGACGGCTTCAATCAAAACGCCTCCCCGAGAATTCAAATTCGTTAACGCCACCTCCCACTTCTATTTGTTCTCTTTTGGCAGGTCATCAATGTTAGTCTATGTATGTATGCGCACAAAAATAGCCTCTTCTTCGTACGGATTTTCACTGTTCTCTTATCTTTTTATTAACATGATTCTTTATAAAAACTACATCATGAGATGCATTCTCCAGTTTCTTTTCTTTTTCCCCATTAACTTGATTGATCCTATATATTTAGTTTAACAGTCGAACAAGTTTAGTTAAGAATTCATAGGTCCTTACGATCCGGAGTTAAAAATTTAATGATGGATCGCCAGCGTGTGGAACTTTTCGGCCCTACGATCATCCATCAAATTAATTTTAATTAATAAAAAAGAAAATGGTGATTTCGGTCATTCATCATCTCCGAACATTTCGCGCATTTCCCGCTGGAGATCAAACCCATGGATCGCTAACAGGCTCACGCGAAGACCGTCGGATGCAATGAATCGAAGAAACAACGAGCGTTAAGCAGTATTAATACCAGCGGCGTCCTCATTTCAGGCTTTACACTGAGACGCGGCGGTGCAGGAGAGGCTCGGTGCTTGATCTTTGACAGCGTCGGCAATGGAGGCCGCGAACGACGTTAAGGGTACGGGCGGAAGAATAGGAGGGAACAGGAAGAAGGTCGTATCTAAGTCCGTGAAAGCCGGCCTTCAGTTTCCGGTGGCTCGCATAGCCAGGTTCATGAGGAGAGGTCGCTATTCTAAGCGTTTGGGCACCGGAGCACCGATCTACCTGGCGGCTGTCCTCGAATATCTCGCCGCCGAGGTATCTTTTTTATTTCATTGCTCAGTCGCTCCCAATGCCCTCTGGTTTTGCAATGCACTTGAGGCTTAGCGCTTTTTAAAAAAAAAAAAAAATAATAATAATAATAATAATAATTTTCTCTGTTTTTACGCTGGTTTTTTTTTTTTTTTTTGTTCTGGGGTTATTCTGTGATTTTTCTGGAACGGTGGAGCGTAGGTGCTCGAACTGGCAGGGAACGCGGCGCGTGATAACAATAAGCAGAGGATCAATCCAAGACACGTGCTGCTTGCAGTGAGGAACGATGATGAGCTGGGAAAGCTTCTGCAAGAAGTAACCATAGCTAGCGGGGGAGTGTTGCCGAATATCAACCCCGTCTTGCTTCCAAAGAAGCCTTCTTCTTCTTCTGCCGCTGAGGACGTTGAGAAGGCCAAACAACACTAGATTCTCCCATCTGTTCAATGTGATACATGTTACGCAGTGCATGAATGTAGGCGCCAAACTTGTGAATTCAATTTTGTTTGCTTTGACGTATTCTACTTGTCGTCCATGGTCGATTCTCTGCCGTTTTGTGCTTCTAAGTTCTTGGCACTCTGCTCATTTTGTCTGGTGTCTGCATCATAAATTGCAGGATCGAACTCTTTGGGATTTGGGGTCTCTGCTCACGTACTTTCCTGTGCCAAGATCTTCTCGATTCTGGGCGTATGGGTCTCCCACGTCTTTTGGCGTAATTAGCATTTTAACTTCTTACAACTCCCTTTTATTTTTTTCTTTTTTTTTAAAAAAATTAATTATTACTTGCCACTTTTTTGGCCAATAAAAATTTGCCTCATTGCCAATAACTACTATTTTACCATTTAGTCCGGTTAGTAACTATCTTCCCCACCCACCCCCCCCCCCCCAAAAAAAAAAAAGGAAGCTCTAATCCTAGAGAACTCTAACACCCAAACACGCTTCTGTTTACTCGCATAGGTTTTTCCCTCAAAATTAGTTAATGACTATTTAATGAGACATGTTATCCTTCACGTCCGTGAAAATAATGATAAAAGATACATCTCAGAACTTTAATGAACTCTAAAACTAAACAATCTCTTTCTAAAATTTAGTTTCTTCATCTTTAACAGCATTGTTAGTACATACAATAATATAAATTAGACGTTGGTTGGTGATGATTATTGCAATTTTGTCAATGATATTTATTTGTAAAACTCTTAAATTGATTACAATGGAACTATATGCTTCTTGTGCATTACACGAGAGAGTAAATGATGTTTATGACAATAATAAACATAATCTTTTATATTAAGTTGTGTTAGCGAATACTTCCCATGCAATGTAGGGGGAGTTGGTGCTAGTTCCAAAAAGAAAAAAAAAAAAAAGAATGTCCAGCCCATGAAAATCATCGGCTGAAAACCCATAAGGCCCAGAAAATGCCCAAAATATGAAATAAGAATCAACAGCAGGGCGCCGGGGAGACAGCACTCATTTTAACAACAACCGCTGCACGGGAAAAGATAAAATCTATTTACAGGAAACGCCAGCCACAGTAAATAGTTGAATACGTTCAAATCTAGAAAATTTCTTCTTCTGGCTTCAGAAAATTATAATATTCAAGTTGGGTCATCTCTCCACCGGCTATGGGGTCGAACTGGCATCGATGGAAGCTGCATCATATACCATCAAAATTTAATTCACAAAAGACGGAAATAATGCACACAGCACTAGAAAATACAATGAGAATAAAATTCTTGAGTTACAAACTTGTGTAATTAACTTCATATATTTGAGGTTATTAATTTTTAATCAAATTAAAAAATTTGAATTTTATACATTATTTATTCTATAACAAATTATGCTATTAATATTATTAATATATTAAAATTTATTTGTCTTGATTTGATTGGATAAAAGTGAATTATAGATATAAAACTATCAAAATCTTCCACAGTTCTTATAACAAGAATTGCTCATTGTGACTGTCTTACTTTAGATAAAAAAACAGAAATATTTAAATAAAAAGTACATTAATCCACAAGTAAATAAAACATTCATACACAAACCAGACATATTTCAATAAAAAAAAATAATAAAGCATAAATTTGACATGCTACTATTTCTTTAGGTCAAACGATGTCATTTCATGTTTAGCAATGAGAGAGAAAAATAAAACCAACTCGGTTGACCCCATCCATAACTGTTCACCGGATAGTCTAACAGATTGATTCACCAGTTCAAAAGTCCAATGACCCTGTTATTAACAAACAACAGTTTACATAAGATTCCATGCTTCCTTTCTCGGGAGAAAGACACTCGGGCCCCTTACAGGAGAATCACTAGCACCTTGGCCTTCACTTTTTTAAAAAAAGTTGTTAATCTCAAAAGGTCATGTTTTTAAGGAACCAAAGTGTCAATAATTCCCTTACAAAGGGATCCAAATGTCATTCTTCCTTCTTTTTTTTCCCAGGCCTTTCCCATGCTTGTACTGATGCACATGACCTACTATCTAATCATTACTCAAACATGGTATTCTATTGTCAACGAATTCCTATAAGCAATACATAAGCTCAAAGACAACTCCTCCACGCCACTCCCACCAAACAAGGAAAAGGGGGGAAAAGAAATCTCCAGGAAGCAAAAATACGAGGTTATAAAACCTAGTTGTCATATTCCCAACATGCTCTTCCTGAGTGTGCTAACATCTACCAGCAATACATGGAGGAAGTGGAAAAGTGCAATACACAAAAAGCAGCACAAAGATATGATCCACAAGAGATACCTTCCATCCATGCCAAGTATCACAATCGTGTTCTTTTGGTGACCAAAGGCAACATTATATTGCAAACCTTCATTCAAATGAAACTGCGCCACTGACCACTCTGAGTTAAAATACTTTGGCAGTACACCTGTAAAAAAACCAGATTTGAGATGACCATGAGCAATATTTTGAAAAAGTTCCAACTTGTAGTCTATATCAGAGAACATAATGTTACAGCACCAAATGCTCTTCTGCATTTTGTTGCTATTGAACATCACACAGAATTGCGTCACCTGAGATAAGCATAATCAAACAGAATGAAGCCAATGGACAAAAAATCCGCAAACCTCTAATAAAGGAAAGAGATGAAACTGAGGAGGGGCTAGCGGGATTAGGTTCAGATGTACTTTGTGATACACGATGCCCCAACAGTCCTGAATCAACCTTTAGACCGAAGACATGAACAGTTCCCTTGTCACTTGATACGGCTAGCCACTGTGCGGTGGCAGAGAAAGCAAGGCTGTATATCTCTGCTCGATCAGCCCCTCTTCGTACCTGCAAGTGTCATCCAAATAATTTACAGCACATCAAACTTCCAGGAGTTGCATGAAATTAGCATTAGCCTCTCCAAGACAACCTTATATACAACGTTTTGGGGCCTAAACAAAAGTAATTACAGTATGACCTCTAGTCTCTAGCAGGAAATGCATATCACATTTGAGAAACAACTTGATCCTCTGAAGAAAGTAAATTGAAAAGCTGATTTTCACATGACGGGACAAATTCATGTAGCTGCCGACAAATGCAGAGTAAAATTCCAGACAGATGTCATTCAATTGTATTAGGTAAACACACCAGGTAATTCCCCGTAGAGAAATTAAGCATCTCTGCAGGACTTTCCTGTGAACACTTCTCATCAATTTTTCAATATATAATATAAAATTTATTGGCTGCTTCATTATTTTTACCTCATACTACATGCAAGGCATGGGGTCCACAATCTACTTTCCTAATGAATAGTAAATCAATCATCAGCAGCAAACTACACTTCATAAGTTACTAATAATGTGACATATTCTCTTGGTTAAAAAATATGAGACATTTTTTTTTAGGTTGGGTGCTCAAAAACACAAGGCATTGAGTCTTTCAAGGTGCAATTAATGATGTTTTTCCAAAAATACTCTTAATTAATGGGTAATAAAATTTTCTACTCTTACTTAAAGGGTAAACATGGAAAGAATGTACAATTTTAAAGATAATTAACTAATTCATATATCTAGCTAGACATCAAAGCAACTTTAGTTTAGTTAGCATTTTTCCACTATGGAAGTGCTTGCATATGCTGGTTCAGTGGGCCAAATATACACGAAAGAAGTCTCATGCAAATTGTTGTCAAAGAGTACAGGTTAATGTTAGGTTCAATTAGTAAATAAGTTTAGCCACCTACTTAGAACTCTGGAAGATGAGACACACCAATCAAAATATTTATCTTCCGATCGATTGCATTTACTTCAAGGGTATCTAGGCACAGAAAATCAATATTTTCCTGACAGAATTTTATGGAACTTAGAGACACTGTAGATTGGCATTTCTAAAGGCTAACAGTTTTCGTAGTGAGACAAAAAAAACCACTTACATATGGATTAAAATATTAGTTTTTCACAAAAAAGGCAGTCCTTCGTAAATTGATTACAAGAACAAAGCGTAGTTACTTTTTTTTTAAAAAAAAAAAAAGCCTAGTACAAATAAAATAACTACCTCTTGGAGCAATGAACCATCCATAGTATTGAAAATTCTAACCAGAGTGCCCTTAGTGCTTGCGGTGGCAAGCAAGCGTCCGTCTTGCGTAAGTGCGAAACAAGCAATTCGGGAGTCGTGCGCCATTATAAACTTGGTCCGCCTTGAAGCGTAAAGTTCGACTCTTACCTGACCCTTCTGTAATCCAGGACAAACCAGAACCATTGCCCCTGAGACATGGGAGATTTCACAAAGTCCCTTTGGATTCGCGATTGTCTCAATTTGATGCAACACTCTGAGGTCATCAAAATTGTACACTAATATCTTATGCATCAGAACCGCCACGATTCGGTCCCTTCTAAGACGAACCCCCTTTACCTCAGAGCGAAATGATAGCTCGCCAATGCAGCGGGACTGATGGTCGTCCCAAATCATAACTTTGTTGATTGCGTATGCAGGGTCAACCCCACCGCCGACGAAGGCATGGATATTGCACCGAAATAACATCTCAACCAATCCGATTCCACCAGCAGGGCCAAAATCCCGCCGGAAGATCTCGCGAAACGGGTCACAATTGAATACACGGAAACCACAATTGGTGCTGGCGGCGAAGCAACCCGAATCTTGATTGAATGAAAGATGAAGGAGTGTCAGAATTTCGGCTGCATCCGAATTTGAGGTCCGAATAGGAAGAGTAGGGTTTAAAATAGAATGACTTTCTTGAGCTCGAAAGACGGCGGAATAGGAATCTTCTCTTTGGGAATGGGGGTGCATGAGGGTTTGTGGAGGATGTGGCACTGACATGGGTGAGAATAACTGGCAAGAAAACGATGCCTTCAAGCTGAACAGGAAGCTGCGTAAGCGAGGTATATGATCCAACAAGAGAAAGAGGAAGATAGTGTGGAGTGGTAGTCGCAGGAGCAAGTAACTAGCACCGACTTGATTGGCACTACAGCGTAAAGGAGAAGTCAGCCCACAAATATATATACCCACCCCTTTATGGGATGTTGAGGTCGGCTTTTAGTCCCCGAAATCGAATCCGCCTAAAGCGAAGCGGTTTTGATTTGACACCTTAACTTTTAAGTTTCCTTTGTTTAAAATTAGATATTATTTGATAATTTAGAAATTTATAATTTACATGAGGGGATTTATTTTATAAAATTTTTATAACAAGTTAAAATTTCTTATGTTTAGTTATAATAATAGAAGTTGGCAAAAATTATAATGATAAAGAAATACTTCTTTTAATTTTATTTATAAGTCACATTCTAAAAGTTTCATTTGGTTCTATTTATAAATTATGATATAACTTTTTAAGTAATATTTAAAAGGTATTTTTAAAATTATCCTTTACAAGAAAGGAAAAAAAATAACATGATATTACTTTTTAGATTAGTTATATAAGGGTATATTTGAAATTTTACATATTTTTATTCTTTATATTTTTTTATATTGATATTAATGAGGTTGATAGAAATTACTTGTAAAAGGGATGTATGAGTAATTGTTATTTTATTATTTTTAAATTTTATTATATATTTGGATGTTTATATTTTGAGAGTTGAGCTTCTCAAAGTAATCATAAATCATGAAAATTTTATAAAAATTCTTTCCCAAAAATAAGTGAATGAATACCCTAAGTGAGCCACCAAAAGCAGTGAAGTCGGGCAAGTCCATGCTCCATCTAATAGATCATCGACTCTAACCCAACCAATTTTATATTTTTTTAAGGAAATTACACTAAAGGTCCTAAAAAGAAAAATTATTATACTTTAAATTTAAAAAAATTTAATATTACGCTGTAGGTTTAAAGGTACTTGTTGCAGTTTTTATAGAGACTAAATGTACAATTTTGCCCTTAATAAAAAGAAATAGAAATAAACGAATGGAAAGTAGTGGGACTGGTGACAAACACGAGAAAGCTTCTTAGCTGAAGGAGTTGAAAGTTTCTCGATTCTAATGGTGAAGAGTAATTTTTAAGGTGTGTAGATTTTAAAAGCCTTCCATACTAAGTAGTGCTTTGGTTAAAAAAAAATTTGTTAAGCTTTGATTAAGTGTGTTATCCACCATTTTTACGTTGAAACAGGAATTAATTGATAGTTGGATGATAGGACTTAGGAAGCAACGTAACCTTTTGGTGTGCACAAGGTAAATGAAGTTATTTTCTTTTGGTGAGCTGATAATTTAGCTGAATGATTTAAATGGCGTCATGCCGCATGTTAGTTGCTAGTGAAGTGGCAACAAAGGTGGTCCCAACTCATTAAATATGTAGTAGTTTCATTTAATGAGGGTTTCACATGAGTTAGTAGAATGCATATGAGATGAACTTTTTATTGTACAACCTGTACTGTGATCTTGTTAAAATTAAAATTTTATTTGTGATTTTACTGTTGATATAAGCTAAATGTTGCTAAACCATTAAGTTAGTTGTAAAAGTTTTAGAATTGATTAATTATTATACAATAATGGTAGTTGACTTGTTCATATAGGATTTTGACATAATGGTTAGAGTATTTATTATGCAAAATTGGATTTTAAGTTGTTGGTGTTGAACTTTAAGTTGTGTAAAATAAAAATTAGATTTTTGTATGTGGACATTTACTTAAACTAATTTGTTCATTACAAGTTAATATAAGAGATAGCAAGTAGTTCTAAAAAAAAATTATTTTGTTTCTTCCATTATGGTGGTAAATTTGTGAAGAGTGTTGATAGAGTCCTCCCATAAGGCCACAAACAAGGAGGATAAAGTCTCAATTTCAAAATAAGAAGATTTATTATTATTCAAGATGTGGGGAGGCCAAAGACAGTCGTAAGAATCCTAACTCAGCATGAAAAGTACTCACATTCTACTTTTTTTTTTGTACATATGCAACTATAATTATGTATATGGAAGTATTCTCGAGCAATATTTCTTAGGTAATTGAAAATAATAAAATATTTTTTATTTATATATAGACAAGCAACTCTTAAATGTTTTGGATATAGTTGCCAACTTTTTATATATCAGACTTGAAATATTATATCAAATTTTATGTGGGTACTTGTTTTAGTAGCTAGGCTAGTATTGACATGAAATTATTCATATTTGATATAATTGTCCTTTAAAGTCAGTAGTTAAGTCTAGCCTACTAATAAACTGAACATGCATAGACTTTCAATTAAAATATATAAACATTGTGTTATATATAGCGGATATTGTGTTGTACATTGTTTGCTTGACTTGTACATTTTGTTAAGCCTAATTTACTAATAAACTAAAATAGCATGGACTTTCAGTTAAAAATATATGAACATTGTGTTATGCATAGTAAATATTGTATTGTATATTTTTACCTAACCTGTACATTTCATTTCATGTTTACTGAAATACATGCATAATTACAAAAAAACCAATTTCAAATTACAAAAAAGCATCTTAAAATACATACATCATCCAATTAGAAAAATATAATTCCACAATTATATGATTTTTCTTTTCATTTGTGTGATTAAGCTAAATATTTGTAAAAAAATTTTAAGTTTATAAGCAACAAAAAGTCTGTAAATAACATAAAAGTATTAATTTATTAACACAATATCCATTTATTTCACATGATTCATGTTGTTAAGTTAAACATATTTATGACAATAGAAAGTAAATAACATGAGAAAGTTCATTTATTAACAATATAATATACATATATTTCACATGATCCGTCTAGTTAAGTTAAAATTTTTTAAATAACATAACAAGTTTCATATATTAATAACATAAGGTCCTTTTATATGCCATACATGAATATCTACACAAAGTTCTTATATATTAACAATATGTTTTCATTGAATTTTCATGAACAAATACATCATATTTGAATAATTTACAATTGAATTATCAATTGAATATCCAATATTAACAAGATAATATTCATGTTTTCACAACACATAATCTAATTTTTTAAAAAAGTTAAAGTTTCAGGAAATACTATTGTATAGTTATTTGTAGAAGTTATCCTTCCTATAATCTAATTCATTAAGAGTTGTAATTAACTAATTCACAACAAAACATCCATAAATAATATCAAAAGGTCCATATATTAATAACACAAGGTTTGTCTATACGTATAAATATCTGTACAAGTTAATTGCAAAATTTGTATAACGTAAACTCCATAAATAACAATATAAATTTTATAAATAACATCTACATTAGAACATGTATATTTACTATGAAAAATCTACATCAAAAACAACAAAAGATTCATAAATAACAAATTATTTTCATTAAATGAAATGAACGTGCACATTATGACTGGATATTTTTATGCCAGTACTATTCCTTCTACTAAAACAAGTATTAACATGAAATCTTGCATCAAATTTCATGTCTAAGATACACAAAAATACAACAATTATAACCAAAACATCTAAGGCTTGCTTGTCTATATACATACATAAAACAATTGCCATCCCTAACAAATTTTAGGTACTGATACATTTTAACTAAGTTTCCCAAACAACATCAAGTCAAAGTACATGTATTCACAAGTAGACGTTCGGATATTCGCAAGTCAATTTCCAGTAGTGAAATTCACCTATATCTAGAATAAAATTGATACGGCTCAAGCTCCTTCTGTGTCTTCTTTTGACAAAATAAAGCTATTGAAAAGCAGTGATGGATTTGCAATATGCAATAATTGCATTATTTTTTATGCCAAAATCAACACATCACTTGATCCATTCTTTTCACACTATGGCAGATTGTTCCATGAAGTTGGTTGGCATGAAAGGGATGTAGTAGACCGAATACCTAATCGTCTTCTCCATAGCTATTTAAATAAAAGTAAATCGTCCACTCATATATATTAGCAAAAATGCTTCAAATTTGGGCTTGAGAAGGAAGAGAAAGAAGGAAGAGGGGGGAAGAAGAAGGGAGGGAATAAAGAAACATGATGGGAGAACGATGAATGTGGTTAGTACATCGATGTCAGAAGAGGAAGAGAGAGAAGGAAGAGGGAGGAAGAAGAAAAAAGTCATCATTCGGCAGCTAATTATAAAAGGGGCAAATTCATCATTTCATCAAAAAATATAATTGTAAATGAATAATTTCAAATTCTATTATGTTTTATTTGTAAATTATTTGCTTCTAGGAACCCTAAATCCGATTGCCCTGTTTTGTATTTGTCACTTTTGCCGCTTGCCACCTGTTTTTTCCCCCCCTCTTCTGGAAGCTGAACAACACGCTCTCGGTTAGGCTTCCTCATCCATTCAGGGCAAGATATGAAAACTCAGAAGGCCATAAATTATTATGACACCCGCGATAAATTGCATTTGATCAAAACATACTTTTTTGAAAATAGAAAAATTATTGTCACTTTGAATATTTTAACAAAACCTAGCGATATTTTTATAAGGAAAAAAAAATCCTCATATCAAATATCATTATTTCTCATTATTTTTATTCATAAATCTAGAACTGTATAAATAATAAATATTTTATTAAAATTCTAAAGTAACATACATTTTAAAAAAAATATAAAAATCTTTGGAATGACAATCTTTCGAAAGGTGGAGTAACAAGAAATCACCACCCCATGGGTAATTGTCCAACATCGGGTGAGAAAAATTGTAAAAACAAAAGAATACCTTTACTTTCATTCAATAATGGATTGACTTTGAATACAATCATCAGCAAAAATGGTGGAAAAATAAAATGTGCACTATACTAGCAGCAATATGAAGCTACACGACTAAATTACAGTACATGTATAACTGCGAATCGCCCCTATGGGGTTTCCATTGGCCGAAACGGAAGCTGAAACTTATTTCCATCACTAAAAAAGAACTCAATTCCAAAATAGAAAAAAGAAAAAAGGAAAAAAAAAAAAAAGATGGCATTGGAAAGACGATTAACTCCATGAAACCGAATGTAGAGTCGCTGTTCAGTTAGGGCGAATGGTCAAAATTTGATCCATCTGCTTTCTGGC